TGAAAAGGCCTGTTGTCTCCTGAGTGGGCTCCACTGTCAGAGGGTAGGGAGTGAGCTCCTGCAGAAGCTGCAGTGGAGACCCAGGGGCTTTTGGCCTCCCCAGGACAAGCTCCGATACCTCCCTTGCACATGCCGAGCAGCGCTGCATACGTACATTTTTGGAAGCCAGGAACTCCATGCCGTTGGCTACTTGGAAGCTGAACCCGATGAGGTCCGTGTAGCTGAGAATGGGGGACTCGTTGATCAAGGTTGCCTGGTCTGTCCTCTCAGGAGCTGGAAGGAACAGAGAAAGGGACAGAAACACAGTGAGCATTGTCAGCAGTCCTCCACGTTGACTCAACCAGGCAGAAAGGAAGTGGTTTTGGGGTTTGCTGGGCCTCCACAGTTGGAGGGGAGAAGCCAAGACACCTTGGTGTGGGAGATGCTCCAGCTCAGCCCTAACCATGTTACATCCACGGATGTGACTTTTCGATCACGCTCCAGCCATAGGGGCCGGTGACCCTGGCACAACCCATGCATCCTTCCCTGGCCCTGAGCAGTGCCCGCAGGTACCTGATGGGGAGTAGCTGTCCAGCTCGTACGGCGTGCCGTAGTTGGAGGCCTCAATGTCAGCGTACTTGATCTCTCCTTTCATATCCGACATGGGCACGTAATCCAGGGAGTCATCCTTGCTCATGTCCATGTAGCCTCCATCGCTCTCGATGGACACGGATGTCTGCCTGCAGAGCAGGGATGGGAACAGGGAAGCAAAGGAGCCCCTCAGTGCAGGCAGGCAGGCAGGCAGGCGGGGAGGAGAGTTGGCCTGTCCCTGCCATGCTGGGAACGGAGGCTGCATTTATGGAGCTCTATTCCAGTGGTCAGCACTATCAGCTGCCCACCTACACTTGCTTGCATCTCAGTCGTGCGTGCACACATCTGTGCACAAAGCAGGCACTGGCACATGGCAGTGGCCAGCTGCATGCCTGAAACAGCGACAGCTGGGAGCAGATGTTGTGCTGACACACGGGTGCCTGGGATTTCTGGCAGAATTGCAGTGTCTGCAGTTGATCTGCACATGCCTAACTTCTGACTGGGTTTCCTTCTCCATTACCAGGGATGGTGGAAGCCCCTGGCAGGACTGGGGGGCTCAGTGGGACAGTGTTTGGGAGCACTGGGAATGAATCACACTCTCTGCTCAGGGGGGCCGGCAGGAGTCAAATGCTCCCAAAGGGCTGGGGAGGCAGCCAGCGTCTCACCTGCCTGCTGCAGTGTTGCATCTCTGGTTTCCCCACGCAGCTGTTTGTCCTGGAGGGTGCTCACATCAGAGCAGAAAGGCAGGGCATGGGGCGGGGGGGATTGCATGGAGGTCTGGGTATAGCTTTGTCTGCTTACACCTGCAAATTGTGTGTGCGCGCATGTGCAAATGCTAAGCAGGTGCCTAATTAGGTATTTGCATGTGTTGGCATGGTGCACACTGTGGGGGTTGTACCTACAGGTACCAAAGACCAGGCACCTCCTTTTGGAAACATGTGGCCCTATTGGTGACCCCGGTGGGCAGAAATCCCAGGCTGCGAGGATGCCACAGCTCAGAGACTCCCTCAAGGTCTGTACTTGAAAACCGAGTCCAGACTGTTGCCCATTGCTCAGTTTTAATAGTTGTCTCGTCTGCCTTGGAAGGGAAGCTGCAAGTGGTTCTCACAGTGTATGGAGATGCTGCCCCTTCCAGTAGCACCTCTGCGCGCTGGGGGGGAAAGCTGCTTTGCAACTCCCCGCTGCAATGCCTCTCTGCACACGCGCTCCCATGCCTCTGTCAGCAGGGCAGAAATAGGGGTGGCTTTGCTGTGTGAGGCTGGGAAAGAACTGGGATGCACCAGGGCACTGGACCCTTGGGCCCTGCAAATGCACAGCTAGAACTAAGCCAGGGCCCCGAAACGTGCTGGGAACACCTGGTTTCTTCACTGGACTTGTCCAGTGTAGATCTGGCCTGCAGATCTCCCCAAAGTCACCTGCCTTCAGCCTGGAGAACAGAGTCCCTGGAGCTGCACAGCCCAGAAAGGACGTGGCTCCATTGCTAGGGCCTGAGATGACTGTAGGCCAAAGGGTGTTGCCGAGCGGTCACCTCTGGATCTGGTCCTCACTGAAGGTGTTTCCGTAGAGCTCAGCCTCCCGCCTGCTCTTCTCGCTGTAGTACTGCAGGAAGGTGTGCTTGTTGCGGTGCAGGTAGTCCACCAGGTCTCCGTAGCGGCAGTACTCTGTGACAATGTAGATGGGGCCTGGGGGAGCAAAGTCCATTGAGTCAGGGGGGGCCTGAAGGCAAGAAAATCACTTGCATTGGGTGGGAAACAGGCTTCTTAGCTCAGGGGAAGGTTGGTGGGACTGAAAAATGTTCTCCCCCATCTTCCCCTGCCCTGAGCTGCAACACCAAAGATCCTGAGAAGGGGGTTGCATGGCCTAGGGGGGGGGTTTCCAGGTGAGGGAAGGGGGAGGCAGGAGGTACCTCCTTTGGTGCAGGCTCCAAGCAGGTTGACGATGTTCAGGTGAGGCCCCAGGTGGCTCATGATCTTCAGCTCCGACATCAGGGCCTGCTTCTCGCTGCTCCTGGCAGTAGCTGTGCAACAGAGGCACCCACAGGATGAAGTCTGAGGGGTGAGGGCGTGACTCCGAGGTGGGCACAGCCCTCATGGAGACCGCAGGGCAATCAGAGAGCGGGGCACTGTGAGTCTGGGGCAGGGAGCCAGGGTCCTGCCATGTCAACCTTGGCAGGACCCTGACATGGGGCTCAGCCCTCTTATGGGGCTACTGCCACCGCAGCTTTGCTGCCAGAGGTCCCTAGTGCCAAGCAGCAGGCACCAGAAACCTCCTTTGTCAGCCCAGAAGGGGTTTTATCAGTGCTTCAGCAAAAGGATGTACTGTTTCCACCCCTGCCACACCTGACCTACCGATGCTGGCAAAATAGCATAGGGGAGATAAGCCACTGCCATGCAACCTAGCCCTTGAGAGGCAGGGCAAGGATGACAGCAATGCATAGATGTCATGCTCTGGCCACGCTATCCATGGGCCAGGGAACTAGATCAGCCATGACTGACCAGAGCCAGAGCTGGCATGGCTCGGACCCCACCGTGCCCAGTGCTGGCAGGAGGGAGACAGCGACTGAATCTGGTGGGAAACTCACACTTGAGCATCTTCACGGCCACCTTCATGGAGGACTGCGAGTGGCTCAGGCCGTGGGCTGTTGCCTCCACCACACGGCCAAAGGCCCCGGACCCGAGCGTGCGCCCTGCAGAAAAACACCAGCGAGAGACCGTTGGCAACCCCAGGGGCCGTCATGCGGGGGAAGGAGGGGCCCACAAGGCAGCTGCCTGGAAAAGGCATGTCCCCTGCCGGACTGACCGGCCTAGCCACAGCCGTCCCTTGGGGAATGACGGCGGCCGTGAGCTATGGTGTTTGTACAAGGGCCGATTTCCGCCCGTCTGGAATGAGCGGGCTGCCAGCCATGGTATGAATAACAGGGAAAACCCAGCATCCCGGTCCAGGAGAGACGCCGGCCTCCCCGCTCTGGCCGCCAGGGGGCAGGCGGCATGGCCAGAGGCCTGGGCTGTGCCTGGAGGTAGCGGCCCTGGGGTCTCCCCAGCTTTCTGGACCTAAGTCCCTTGACTCAGCCTCATGCCTCCCCCCTTGCCGGGGAGAACCAGGCCTCCCAGACTGAGCCCACAGGATGTCTACCTGGTGATGCTCAGAGCCTCCAGCTCTCCCTGGAAAACAGCAGAGCTGTTTTACTGCATGCACTAGGTGCATCCTCCTTCAGCCATGCATGATGCAGCCCGTGCAAAGCCACGCAGCTCTCTTCCTTGTGGGCTGGCTGAGTGTCTCTGCTCTGCCCTGCAACCCAGGGCCCCCTTTCTCCTGCTGTCCCAGCCGTGGCTGTTGACATGCCCGGATGAACAGCTGGAGGAGGATATACAGACCCCAGGCAAGTGTGTGTTGCCCCCTCCAGTCCAGCAGGCCCTGGCTGTGGGCATCTGCCCCGCTTCAGAGTGGCTGGAGAATGACTTCACCCTGATCTTTCGTAGCCCCCACACTTGGCCCGTCTACGGGGGGGGGTTCCCTGCCTCCCCTTACCCAGCACCAGCTTGTCCCTGGGGACCTCCCAGCTGGAGTCGTAGGGGAGTTGCAAGGGGTCCACGTAGATGTACTCGTGTCCGTCGGAGCTCACCGACTCGATCACCTTCCACCGGATTTCGTAGCGAGGTTTCTAGAGCGGGGCAAAGGCGGGGACAGAGTTCAGGGTGAGGGGGGCAGGGAGCGCAGTCTGGAGAGGTGTCGGAGGGACGAGCGAGGAGCTGAGCTGGGATATGTTGCTCTCAGGCAATGACCTGCATCCTCTGGGTGCCCCATGGCTGGGGACACCCCCCCACCACCCCGTCTGCCCTGTTTCTGCGCCCATGAGAAGCCCAGCTGCTGGGCATCCCAGCCAGGGAGCAGAGCATGGCCAGCCCAGCTCCCTGTGCCAGCTCCCTGGCCCGATGGGAGGGACCGGCCCCTGCCCCAGGCTCCGCAAGGGGAGGGCTCCCAGCTCGTACCTTCCTCCACAGGATGATGAGGATGATCAGGGAAGTGACGATGAGTGCCAGCAGACCCAGGATGACCCCAGAGATGATGATCACCTTGAAGGACAAGGCTGCAACGCCGCCCCATGGACAGCCGTCAGCTCCCTCCAGCCAGGGACACCCCCAATGCACCCCTCTGGCCCTCTCCTCACCCCATTACAGTTTCCCTGCCACACACCCCACAGGCCTCATGTCAGCTGGCCCACTTGGGGCTTCTGGTCTGTCCCTTGGCAGCCGTCATGGTGCCAGGCCTCCCAGGAGAGGGACCGTGTTTCCCGGCTGGTCTTTCTCCCACGGGAAGTGCTAAGAGACACGGACCTAGGATGGCTCAGCCCAGGGGTGTCCATCCCCAAGGCTCTGCTCCCCTCCCTGCCACCGGCACAGACCCCGCCACGGGTCCCAGGGCAGGGGTCTGCTTCCCTGCCCCAGGGGATGTGGGCACAAACGCCAGGGTGGGAGGGAATTACAGGGACTGACGGCCCCTTGGTCACAGGAGAGCTCTGTGGGGGCTTTGGGAGGAGGTCTGACCTCGAGGGTCTATCAGGAAAGGCAGTGGTCACCCTTCGGTCTGAGCTGGCTCTGTTTGGATCCAAGCCCTCCGTCTAGGACCCCAAGCGAGGCCCAGCACCTGGATCTATGGGGACGTGGCACTCTCTAGTGCCCGAGTGCAAACAGCCGGGGGATAACGTGGGTCCCGGTGCAAAGTCTGTGGTCAGAGGCATGCATGCAACTGCACCCCCTTCCAGTTCAGCCGGACCTCGGGGGCCCAGCTGCATGCATTGACGGGGGCTGTGCACCCATCAGACAAAGGCAGGAGCTCTGCTGGGGGAGGGAAGGACAGGGCTGGTTAATCCCATGGGCATATAGCGGGAGTGAGGCAATCCCTGGTGGTCACCCATGGGTGGCCAAGGGCTGCGCATCAGCAGAGACTTCTCCCACCTCAATGCAAGGAGGTCGTCCCCTAGGGCTGAGACATCTAGGCCTCAGCAGGCTCCCCCTGCCCACCTGGCTGTGCTCTGGACCGCGGCGTGGACATGGCCCAGGCTGAGCGGGGATGGCATGACGGGACTCACCGTGTGGCACCAGCTTGATGTCGCGGTGGCTGGTGCCCAGCAGGTTCTGCGCGGCGCACCGGAGCAGCAGGGGCTCGTCCACCCGGCGCAGCTGCAGTGTGCTGTGGACGTGGTACACCCGCAGCGCCTCGTGGTACGTGGCATTGGTCTGCAGCTGCATCTCCTCAGAGGCATTGCCCAGCTGCTGAATGGGCTGGAGGCTGCATTGTCTGGGGGGGAGATGCAGCAGATGGGAGACCATCTCCTCTACCCGCCATGGCAAGAGATGCTCCTGCCGCCCTGTCAGCAGAGCAGCCAGGCTGGCCCCGTTCATTTATCCCCTTGATCCAGCACAGATGGGGGGGTGGGGGGCAGGGGGTCCCATGAAGTCCCACTGGCTCAGGTCATGTCTGTTTGCCTGCTACTTTCCAGCCTGATCCTTTGCAGCCAGAAACTGATGGCTGGGCTGGGATGAATGATGCCATTGTAGCACTGGGAAGAGATCTCTCAAAAGGCCTGTGTCTGGGTCGTGGCCAGCAGCGGGGAGCGCACCCATTGCTCTTGGTCTGACCTACAGCAGTGGTTTTCAACCTGTGCTCTGCGGACCCTGGGGGGTCCCCAGACTATGTCTAAAAGGTCCGTGAAAGATGACTATGATCAACCAAAAGTATGTAAATACTCACACTTATAGTTCAAAGGGGTCTGTACCTCCATTCGAAATTTTTTAGGGGTCCGCAAATTAAAAAATGGTTGACAACCACTGGCCTAAAAAAAGTCCGGGTCTTTCAGGGTATTAGAAAACAATCAGGAGAGGGGCAGAACGTGCGAGGGGCATCCCTGCCAGCTCGGCCTGCAGTTGAGGAGGGCAACATTGCACCACGAACGCCTCAGTTCATGTGCACCGGTTTGATGAGACTGCCGCCCGTCCCGCAGACCCACGCAGCGCTCCCTTGCATGTCGGTCTCTCTCCACTGACTGTGTCTTGTAGTATATGTGGGTGGTAGTTGTGTGGATGAGGGGACTGTCTTTTTGTCTGACTATACAGTGAGTAGGAAGCTGGGATCCTGTGCCAGGACTTGGTGCCCTTGACATTTATCATCACCATTACTATGATGATGATTATATGCGGGATGAAAGTCCAGGCCTCGATCTTGCTAACAGGAATCTCCTCCCCTTGGGCGCTAAAGCTGGAGTGCTCCAACTAGTCCAGAAGGCACATCAGCCGGTGAATCCCATCCCCGGTCCTGTACAGCTGGCCTATACGGGAGACGGTGACCACCCTTGGGGGCAGAGGACTGAGGGTCTCCCTAGAAGAAGCCATTCCCAGCTTCCCCCGGGAGGAGGTGCTGCATGCATGATTCTTCATGGAGAATGAAAGCCACGGTGTCCTCTTACCCTTTGTGGTCACTGCAGGTGTACCAGCTGATCTCCGGCTGCGGCATGCCCTCGGCGGAGCACAGCACCTTCTGCTCCCCCTTGACGGTGCTGTTCTCGTGCAGCGCCCGCACCTTGGCTGAGACTGAGTGCAGGGAAGGAAAGAGGAGGGGCGACATGGTGTAAGAGGTGCCCCTTGCGCTGCCTGGGGTGGGGGGTGCGTGCTGGAGACATTATGAAGGCTGGAGCTGATCAAGGGGCTTGGGCTGGCTGGGGACCTAACCACAGTGCCTCCCACCCCAGCCATTTGCAAGGCTCCCGGTTGCTGTGTGATGAGCAGCATAAGCGCCAGCTCTCCGGTTCTTCCATTGCGGGCAGTGCCAGTGGGGATCTTCTTCTGGCATCTCCTGTCAGCTGAAGGGCTGGAGGGGGGACTGGGGTTGAAGGGACAAACCTGGACCGATGTCAAGGAGTTTGGCCCCTCTGGACCCCGCGGGCCTGCTCCAGCTCCAGCCTTCTGGGGGTCTGCCACGTGTGTGCATGTATACATGTGTGTGCATATGCATGTGCACATATGCGTGCGCACATGGATGCACATGGGTGTACACATGTGTGCATTTATATACATGTGAATGCATGCACGGGGTGTACAGGTATGTGCATGCATGTGTACACGTGTGTGCATGGATGTACGAGTGTGTACATGGGCGTGTGCATCTATGTGCACGCATGTGTGGATGCGCACACATGTGTACATGGGGGTGTGCATGCCACCTCCTCACCGTTGACCTGCAGGAAGAAGCTCAGGTGCTGCGTGTCGTCGTCGTTGGACGCCCGGATGGTGTAGTTGCCCCCCTCTTTCGGTTCCACCCGCACCAGGTTCAGATTTGTCTCGTACCTGGAGGGAGAAGAATCCTGCGGCCGTGAAGAGCCACCTGGCGGCCCAGGAGATGCCGTGGGGCAAGGGGCAGCCACGCAGCAGGGCCCTGGGGCTGGCACCGAGACAGCAGGGCTAACAACCGAGCTGGGACGGCCCAGGAAGGCAAGCCGAGCCCGCGGCTGGCTCTGAGACCCCCTTTCCCACTGCAGAGGGGCGCCGCTCTCCATGCTCCCGCCTCACCTGGTTTCCGACAGCTTCCGGGTGGTGATGGAGAAGTCGCTGCTGCTGCTCACCATCAGGGGCTGGTTGTTCTTGAGCCACTGGATGGTGGGTGGGGGGTAGGCCTCGAGCTGCACCCGGATGGTGGGGCTCTTGTGCACCTCGGCAAACACCACGGTGTGCCATTCGGAGAGGAACTTCACGAACCCACGCTCTGCTCGGGGCAGGGAGGAGCAGGGAGGTCAGTGCAGGGCAGGGCTGGTGCCTACCCCTAAAACAGTGCAAGGAGCTGGGGGTGGGAAATCCGCACCCCCCCAGGAGCCTGAGAGATGACCCCAACGCACCGACCACACTGACGGTGATGTCCTTCATGTCCATGTTCTGCTGGAAGCCCTCTGAGACGTTGCAGATGTAGGAGCCCGCGTCCTCCAGCTCCGCGTTCTGGATGATGAGGATGGAGCGGATCTCGTGGCTGGACCCGGGCAGGAAGTCCGTCACCAGCTTCACCACCTTGCCCGTCTGCACAGGGAAGGGAGGAAACCCTCACGGTGAAACAGGGCCAACAGGCCAGGTGCGTCTTGCAAGCCCCAGGTAGGCCCGGGGGAAGAGGGGGAGCCGCCCGCACGATCCCTGCCCGGCACTCACCTCCAGGCCGGGGTACATCCAGTTGAAGTTGAGTATCTCGTTGCCGCTGACGGTGCACATGACGGTGATGTTCTCTCCTCGCCGCACCAGGGTCTGCACCGCGCTGATGGAGATGTTAACGCTCGAAGAAGCTGGAATGAAAGGAGCGGGGGTGAGACAGCAGGGAGGACCCCGCGCTCCGCAGGGCAGGACAACCCTGCCAGGAGCAGCTCTGCAGAGAGGGGACAGCTGGTGCTTTGGCAGTGCTGGTATCGGCTCATTGCTGCCTGATACTCCCCAGCCGGCCTGTCTTTTGTCACGGGGGGGAAGGGCTGTCTCTGCATCTCCGAGCATAGCAGGGCCCTGATCCTGCTTTGAAGGTGCCGTGCCCTGGCCGTGGCTGTGCAAACCACTTGGTGCCCGAGCTTGACTGTGAAGGCCATAGGAAGGCTGGATGTGCAAGGAAGTCAGGGCATCATCAGCATCATCTCCACTGAGCTCAGTGGAAAAAAACTTCCCCGGGATGGTTTTCAGCAAGGAACCGTGACCCAAGAGCAGGGGACGATTTTAACTAGGTCTTGGGTGTGCTGGGTGCCCAGGCAATGCCTTGGGCTTTTTCTTCTGTTTTGTGCCATGTCCAAATAACCCGTTCCTGGAGGACAGGAACTGGCACCTTAGCAGAGCCCCTGTGGGACGCTAGGAAAGAGCCTATATTGGCTCCAGTCTGAGGGTCAAAACAGCCAAAAGAGCTTAGCATTAATATTTGCTGGGGGCAGGAGGGACAAGCTTGTGGCCTATGAATGAGCACAGAGAACTGGATCCTGTCCTTCTTTACAGAGATGCAGACTCACCCAACGGTGTTGAATTGAGGCAAGTCAGGAGAGGAGGAAGCCCCTAGATAGCTGTTCCTAGCCCCACTCTTGGCCAGACCAGGCAGGAGGGAGGAGCAGCCTCAAACGGGGCTGCCTTCAAGTCACGGGGACATGGTGCAGTTGAGGAAAGGGGCCCCTAATCATCCTGGGGAGGGAAGCTTAAGCTGATGAAATACCGACCGCCCCATCCCGGCAGGAGCGGAGCCAAAGGGCAGCTCACACTGGATGCTGTAGATGTAGTAGTTGTCCGAGTCCACCTCCCGGTCGTCCAGCGTCGCCTTGCAGATGTAGGTCTTGTCTTCGAAGAAGCCCTTGAAGCCCTGCTGCCTGTTGTAGGTGGCAGGGATCGGGGTGTCATCCTTCTTCTCGTAAAGGGTGACGTGGAAGGCAGGGTCGGTCACGCGGCACGGGATGGTGGCCTCTGTGTAGCCCGTGGTGAAGATGAACGACTCCGCGGAGTCACTGGGCAGGAAGACCAGGGAGGGGTCTGCGGGCGGGAGAGAAACGCTGGTCATGCGGGCTGCCGGCCCTTTGGGGCAGAGGCGGTCTGCTGGGCTGGTGCAGGGTCCCCCCAGCTCAGACAGGCCGTAATCGTCATCATCATCATCATCATCATCACAAGACAAGAGAGAAGCAGCCACTTTGCTTGGAGATGCGTGCTGAGCTGTTGGGACCCCTCCCCAGCGCTTCTCCCCAGAGAGACACGTAAGACCATAGGACGTGCCACACCGGCTCAGGCCAAGGTGTGTCTAGCCCAGTACGTTGTTTCTGACAGTGGCCAGAGTGGGTGTTATGCAGGGAGAGCATCAAACTGGGTATCCCTAGAGTGATCCACCTATTCAATCCTCTGCTTGGCATCCCCCACGTATTGGGCTAGAGATGCCAGAAGAAACTCCTCCAGCCGCTCTGTTCAACAGCCATCAAGAAATCCATCATCCATGAATTTTTCCAGTCCCCTTCTTGAAACCCGCCACCTCCCATGGCAACGAAGTCCACAAGTGAACTATGCATTGCATAAAAAAGTCCGTTCTCTGGTTAGTTTTTAACCTGTCACCTACTCATTTTAGCAGGTGCCTCCTAGTGCAAGTGTTATGGGACTTGGTGTTCACTTGGTCCATGCCCTTCGTGATCTTATAGACCTTATAGACATGATATTATATCCCCCCTCAGCCTTCTCCTTTCCAAAAAGAAGAGCCTTAGGCTTTTTCAGTTTCTCCTGTTGTCACAACTGGTCCATGCCTCTGATCATTTTGTTTGCCCTTTTTTGGACCTTTTTAATTCTGCTACATCCTTTTTGATGTAGTTGAACCCTCACGTTCCCCTCCCCTGAGAGGGTCTCTGTGCTGGGAGTCCCTCCCTTGCCTTTCCCATGACCATCTCCGACTTAGGGCTCTTCCTCGAGCGCCAGATCGGGAGTGCTCTGTCTCCTACCTGGCACGTAGACATAGATGGCCTTCCTCTCCGCCTGCTTCCAGCCCAGGGAGTGGTTGTAGGTGCACACGTACTCCCCCGTGTCAAGGCCTGTCAGGTTGTGGAGCGTGACCATGCTGTGGAAGACGCCATCTCTCTGCTCCAGCGACGCGGCCAGGGGCTGCCGGTCCCGCTCCCAGACCACCTCGGCCTCCCCGGAGCACGTCAGGGAGGAGCTGCCGAAGAGGCTGAGGATGATTTCGGGGTCGCTGGGTGAAATGTGCAGCTGGCTGCTCCCGGGAGTCACTGCCGGCAGACCTGGGGGAGAGGGACGGGGTGGGGGAGTCATCCGGGGGCCAGGCGGTGCTCCCGCTGGCAGCATTTCTGCTCTATACAGGGGGGACTGAAGCAGGCTGAAAGCCAGACTCTGCTCTATATTAGCCTTAAACGTGGCCTATTGACTTTTCCTTCCATACGGGCCTTACAAACACTGCCGCCCTCTTTGTGGGACCTGCCACAGAGCCATGTGTGAGTCCGCTGCTGGCAACAGCTGGCAACAGCTGGCACCAGCTGTTCATAAACAAGCTCTCATCCCACGGACTTGCTGCAGACACACCCTGCCCTCCTTCAGAGCCAGGGCTGGGCTCCTCAACGCTGGCTGCAGCCCCTGCCCTTCCGAGAGGCGCTAAAACCTCGCTAGTCGGCACTGGAAATCTCCGGTGAAATGTCTATATTGGAGCTGTGCTGCCCATTCCCGTGAGCCCACAGTGCCCCTGCAGCACCACTGGATCAGCGCTCCTGCCTCTGCCAGAGCTTGGGGGACGCCTTAGTGCATTTAGCCCCATCAAAGCCAACTGAGACATTGCAGCGTTAAGGGACGTGACCAAGGATAAGGGGCAAGACTGTGGCAAAGCTGGGCAAAGCACCCCGGTCTTCTGAGGGACTAGCTAGCACTTTTGCTAGCTGGCTGCTTCCCTTCCCTGCGTGCATGAGGCAAGTGTACACCCAGCTGGGCTGCAACACTTGGCCTGTGCATGTGCAGGATGTAAACGGGGATGTGATTCGGAAAATGGTGATGGTGGTGGGGGACTAAGACTCAGTGCTTGGGGACAAACTCACTGGACAGTGACATGATGCCATCATGCCAGTCTGGGGGGCAGTGAAGCACCTTTCCAGGGCTATAGAATATCAACCAAGGGTGGTTTGAGGGACCCTCATGCTGCCCAACACCCCAACAAGTGTGCTTGTTTGCCCTGGAGTGCCTGAGTCCAAGAGCTGTGTCATGAGATGAACCCAGCCGTGCTGTGCTGTTCCCTCCTGACTTGGGGTCCCTCCGGCCTCTTCCATGGGCCCAGGCAGGTCATGCAAGTAACAGGGAGAGGTGGAGAGCTAGGACGCTGCATGTAACGGTGAGAGGTGGAGAGCTAGGGCGCTGCGTGTAACGGTGAGAGGTGGAGAGCTAGGGCACTGCGTGTAACGGTGAGAGGTGGAGAGCTAGGACACTGCGTGTAACGGTGAGAGGTGGAGAGCTAGGACGCTGCGTGTAACGGTGAGAGGTGGAGAGCTAGGGCGCTGCGTGTAACGGTGAGAGGTGGAGAGCTAGGGCACTGCGTGTAACGGTGAGAGGTGGAGAGCTAGGACACTGCGTGTAACGGTGAGAGGTGGAGAGCTAGGACGCTGCGTGTAACGGTGAGAGGTGGAGAGCTAGGGCACTGCATGTAA